CAACAAGGATTCACACAAAAATGTATTTTGTTTTGCTATTTTTTATTCCCTGCTGTGTGCTTTATTCACACTTCCAATTTCCCCTGTGACTGGAATATGACATATTCCAAAAATGCAATATGCATTTTAGATTCCAGCTTATAGAAAAGTCATGCGCTGGAACTTCTGTACGATGTTGGAACTCATCCGAATGAAAACAGAAAAGGATAATTTTCACTTCCACCTTCAGGCAAATTTTCTGCTGCTTCAGTGCAAAATTTTATACTCAAAAGAAAATAAAGGAATAAAAAGGAATTTTCTGTTTTTCCATCCGAAAGGAGAAAAAAAAGTTCTTTGAAAAATTTATTTATTTTTTGCTGACCTCAAATAAAATAGACGACATCGATGAAATGAGCAGTAGCAAGGAGAAGCAAAAAAAGGATAAAGGGGAAGATTTTTGTTTGTCATCGATAACATTTGCTGCTGGTAGTGTTATTTGTTAATTCTAAAGACTGTCGGTTCCACAATCTTTTTTGAAACAAATGTTTTTGATAAAACAAATTGACTGAATTATTGACCGTATTTTTGCCGGGTTGGGTGAGCATTATCAAGATTATACAAACATAATTGGTTTAATTTTTTGTCATAAAAAGAAGAGCTGAAATTGTTTTTATAGGCTTTTTGTTTTGAAAGGATGAGTTTTGATTGTTAGACGAGATGAAAGGTACAAGATAGGGGAAGTGATGACACAAAATTCTATTATTTCTTTTCTAAAGAGGAGCATTTCATTTACCACATCCATTTTGTCGAATCTTTTTTATGCCAGTTTTAACTATTCCTGAAAACCTTATCTAAATCTCACTAGCTCCCTCCTGTGGATGGGTCTGTGTGACTTTCAATTTTAAAAATTCTCAAAATAATTCGAAAATGCGCTTTTTTAAACTCACACTTGAAGCTTTTAATAACTCTTGACATTCAAATTGGGTGGAAAAAGCAACAGCAAATATACAGAGATCTCACATCACTGGGGTCATGTTGAGGAGAAAAAGAAAACTGTCACAAAAAAAGAAGAACAGAAAAAAAAATAATTAAAATGCTTTTTTCCTCCTCTTGTGCTCCATGTGTGTCAGAAAATGTCCTAAAGCAGAAAGGAAATTCATACATGTTAAGAGCAAAACGAATAATGACATATATATTCAGCATTTTTTGTCATTTTCTGTTGATTCTATGTATATCGTGATGTCTTATTATTTTTCGTCATCTGTCTTGCTTTTTTGTAGTTTTCTGTTTTAGGTTTGGTTTAAGGCAAAATGGGAAGGATACAAATGATGAGTGAGAATTGTGCGTGTAAATTGTTCTATTTGCATGGGCTGGAAACTGTTTATTGAAATTGCTTATAATAAAAAATAATTTATTTTGATGAAGTCTAGTTTTAAAGCTTCACTTTCAAACTTAACTTAGAACAATATTTGGGTCTGGTTTATAAATGTTATATTCTTTAGTCATTTAAATATCAATAATTTATGGAAGTAAAGAATAAATATTTCATCAAAATTCTCTTTAAATTTACAAGGTTCACATTAACTATTCAAGAGACTTTAATACAATCAATTTCCATTTGGAATAAATCTCTTAAAATTTATGTAAAAGTATTCCAAATTTTCAACAACATCTCGATACCACTAATGCTAATTAATCCCTAATCTGAAAACTTTTTTGTCATGTACAACACGAAATCAAACCTTAAAACTGTTAAAATGCTAGCAAACCTCAATCAATCAATCAATTTTTTAATACTCAGTGACAACTTTTTATCAGCAAATAATTTATCAACCTTGAAGCAGATGTCATTTTGAAGGCCAATTTTGAGTTCACTGTAGACTGTGATTTGTTTTAATAAATAGTATAAAATGACTTTAATTCTCAGCAGACATCTTAAGCCAATAAACATAATTCTGCACCTTGCAAATTCTGAAGAGAATTTGATGCTCATTTTTGAAATTTCTTCGAATTTTTTACAGTTTTTTTTCAATTTATTCATGCAAATCTGTCAGAAATGCAGAGTAAAATTCACCTGAAATAAGCAAAAGCAATGGATGTGAATTAGAATGCTTGAACATTATCACAATGTGCAGTTTTCTTTTTAAAAAATGGATTAGAAAAGTTTTTATGTTTGCTGATTTAAAAATAAATAGAAACTTGAAATCAACTGTGGAAATAAAGTAGTAAATCCTAAAACAGGATCAACTATGGATCAATTTTCGACGTAAGGTTCGAATTCCAAAAAAATGGAAGTGGTTATTTGTCGTAACTTTGCACTAGTTGAATATTAATGTTAAGTATTCCCTCCCCTTCATAAAAACCCTCATAAAGGCTCGTTAACACATTACGTTACGAAAATCTGTTGCAAAATTTGGAAACTCCCGTAAAAAGCGAACGTACTAAGTGTATGATCCACAAAAACAATCTACAGCATAAAGACACAAGAATCAGCCCCGAAAACAAACACACAAGATATAAAAAAATTTACCAAAACTTGTTACTGAGCGGAATGAAAAATTCCTTCTCCATTTGCATATTTACACAATATAATCCTCAATTTATTAACCAAAAAATAAGAGAATGATTCATAAACATTCACAACAATGACTTTTTAAAAAGCTCATGACCCTAATCCATAAAATGAAAATCCAAAAAAATTGCGAAGAGAAGTGTCCAAAAAATCAACTCGAAGAGGAAAGCTGAGGGTGCGGTGAAGATACAGATAAAAGACATGAATAAATTCCTTACAAACGCAAAAAATTCAAAATCGCACCAAATCATTGTAGAGTCATTATTTACATAGAAATATCTAGCAAAACAGCAACAACCCATCTTTTTGCATGGCGATGACGATGATGGCAGAAAAAAGTGACATCGTCAGCATAAAAAAAATGGAAAAGTGGAGAATTTAGAGATAAAAGTGAAGTCATTGTAAATTGATGACTAAAGCGCATTGAATATGTATGCTGTTGTGCTGTTTACAGTGAGAAAGATGATGTGAATGACAATAAATTGCCATTCATGAATTTTTGAAGCTCAAATACATTGGCTTCTTTGTTTTGGACTGAATTATTACTGAGAGTTGGAATTGGCATCGTTTTTATGGTAAATTGTGGTTGAAGAGCTTGAAATTGATTTTTTTGAACAGTGTTGATGACCTTTGATTATAGAATAGATTTATGTAGGGGTATGAACAAGCTTATTGCGGTGGGTTGTAAGTGGTTGGAAGTTCTCAAAAATGATCCTACGATATTCAAAAATATTCATTTCTTTTAGCCTTATTAAAAACAAAATCCGTCCATAAAGAACTCTGAAATGTACGCAGGTGGCAGTCATTTAACCCATCAACTGAACCATAAATCGAGCATTTAATTTACCATTTTTTATTGACGACCACAAGTCGTTATAGGTCAGTAGACGAGCGCTTAAAGAAAAACCTTTTTCCTCGACAAACTGTTTAAAAGAAACAAGGACGATTGAATAATGATGGGACATTTGCCTTCTCTGTTGTTTACAGTCGCCAAAAAAAAAGAATTTTTTTTGCATCCTATATCCAGCATGCATGAGAAAAAAAATTTTCCTTTTATTGTCGCTCTCTTGTGAGAAAGCACATAAAGAAATCGTGACCAAAAGTTATGAGTATGTGTATATGTGCTTTATTTTTTTAAACGGAACTGCCTCGTCCTCCTCAAAAGCAAACAATATTCAAGTAAATGCGACGACTCGACCAGCATATAAATTTGATTTATTCTTCCATTTAAATTTTCCTTTTCGGTCTTTTCTTTGCAATTTTTCATTGCTTTTTGAGTGTGTACTTGCATTACATCACTGTCTATGCCTTCACATACGTCTTGATGAGTGATTTTTCACATTATGAGTTTTATGTTTTCACAAGGCGTACACACTTGCGAAACTTCCTGAAGTTTCCCAAAATTGTATGAGACTTTCGGAAATTTGGGAAGTTTTTGGTTTTCAACACATTATTGCATAGGACAAGATGATATATAGCGACCGAGGTTTGATTATTGATAACTCTATGCAAAATGGTGGTCCTGTCTGTTTATTTGGAAATTGTGAAGGAATTGAAGTCTTTTCTTATCATTAGAAACTCACCAAAAAACTTCCGGAAATTTCCTAAGTGTGCACGCCTTGGTTTTTCGTGAATAATTGAGATTATGTCATGATTTAGTGTGCGAAATAAAGTGAGAGGACATGCTTAGTTTTAGAATTTTATAGGTTAAAGTCAATATTAATGATAAGTGGGAGAATGAACTCCAAAGTTCAATACCACGATGAGGAAGGTCTACTGATGCACAGCACTTCAAACATTTAAATAACTCAAAATAAATTTGTCTAGCATCAAAACTTCATCAAGAACCCGAACATCAGTTTTCAATTGATTTTATGCAGCTTCAAGTTTTCGAAAAAAAAAATTGGTTTCATGTTTTTAAAAGTCGGGTCCTCAAAAAAAAAACACACATGTGTTTAAAAATGCATATTCCAAAGTGACATTTGATCTCGAAACAAAAGTAATTCTTTATATGTATTCCATGGATATGTACGCGTGGTAAATAAAAAAATTGACTTCCTTTTTTTGCCCGTCCAAGGCAGCATTAAAGCAAACTGTCATTCAAGGCACGTCCATAACATTTAAAATCAATTTAAACACGCACTTGATTTTGTACATGAATCAACAGCATTTAAAAGCGTCTGTGGCAATGGGCTCAATTCAATCAACAAAGCATTTGAGCATTGAGCTCTTCACGAGGGATTTTTTGTGTTTGACAAATATTAAAAAAAATGTTTTTTTATTCTAAATTTGGAGATTGAAAAAGAAAAAAAATATTTACACAATTGAGCTTGCATTTTTGAATTTTTTCGCTTGCAGCGTTGCATTGATTGAGTGAAAAATTGGACACAAATTTTGTTTTAAATTTTTTTGCTATATAATTTCAATTATGAAATATATAGTACATGTAAAAAAAGGAACAAAGGTAAATATGAGAAGTGGATGGTTGTGAATTTTTGGTTTTTGCATTCGTTTTTTTTTTGATTCACTTGTCTGATTTACAATGGATTTAAAAATATGAAAAAAAAATAATAATTAACTCAGCCTTTGGTAGCTACGAGCTCTATTTTGAAAGCTGAAAAGCATTACAATAATCTCCAAAGACAATGGGTGGTCATATTACAATGTCAACTGTTAAAGACAAAATTCTGTCAAAAAATGATATCTTTAAATTTAAATTTTTTTTTAAAAAAAAATTGGACATCATGTCCAGCGATTCCTATGAAACATTGCAATTATGTTCAAATGAGCAATCAAATTTTTTTTTCACAAAAAAGCACAACATGATTCAACTGACTGATTTATGTAAATTTTAAAATGTACATTTTTATTCGGCAAATTGACTGACTATCATTTGATGACTGATTTGCACTGCAGGCTATAAAATCACATTTAAATCAAGCTTTTCTATAAAAATATCCATTAAAATTTTTTTATTCATTGCACACGTACAAAATCAAACACTTTATTCACATTCAGCATCATCGGGATCCATGCAAACACGCATTTCTCTTGAGAAGTGCATGTCACTTGGACAAACAAGGGTTGTAATTTCATCGCCATCCATGCACAAAATATATTTTCCACATTCTTCTGGGTGAGAAATCAACTTAACACCATCTTCTGGGCACTCCTCAATATCCTCTTCATCATCATCACCTTCATCGTCTTCATCATCAGGTGCTGGTGTTGGCCATGGAAGTTGAATTGGAGGCCATCGAAGCTCTGGTAATGTTGGGAATGTTGGCAAAACTGGACGAATGTTGGTTCGATCTCTGATCATCCAGTCAGGCATACTTGGTGGGAAGTTTACACCAGGGAAGAATGGGAAGTTTGGCCATAAGTATGGCACTGCCATTTGTTCTCTAGAAATATAATTCGGTTGGTTTCACAATTTTGAATAATGTTTATGTTCTGAGTTGGATCAGATAGTTCAATCTTTATTTAACGTTATTTATAAACGAACCACATTTTAAAAATTAAAACTTTTTTTCTTCACAACTTACTCAACCTCGTCATTTCCATTAACGCTGAGCAATGCTGAATTTCCACCATGGAAATCAAGTGCAAAAATTATAAGAAAAATTAAAAACTTTTCCATCATCGTCGACTGTAGGGACGGAGTGGAGTTGGGTTGACAGAAACTTTTTTAAACAAAATTTAAAGCGAGACTGTCCACCATGCGACTGCCATTAGCTTAATTTATACTCCCATTAAAAAGTTTTTTTTACATTTTTCTTCTCAGTCACACACACAAGACCTTCATAATCCTCTGTCTCGTTCATAAAATTTATCGACTTTGTCTTATCATAATGAAAAGAAAAAGAAGAAAAAAATTTGCAATAAATTGAGTGTAAATTTGCAGTTCCAATTACTACCTCTTTTCACTCTGTTCATCAATCATTCTATTTTTGGTCTATATAGCAACAACCATTAGTATGTATCTAAATAAGTTCCTGACTTTCATTGATGGGTTTGGAATTTCCATTAGAAATTGATAAAGCTAATAGTTATGTCATCTTCTGATCGCAATGAACTGATAATTTGAATGTTTTGGAAAATTTTCCTTATCAATGAATGCAGCACAACAGGGGATGAGAACTATTTGTGATAAATTTTGAATGTGGCTTAGCTAGAGAAGGGGTTAGTCAAGTAAATGCTGAAGAATGCTTAGCACCATCACTCCCTTTGTAAACGAGAAATTTCAACGACACTCTACAATTAATATTTCCATTGTTTCTTTGTAATCCATATCATTGTTCAATGGATACTCCGGAAAACCTTCATAATATTTGACCTTATTTTAAACATTCGAACGATGCTTCTAATCGAGAAATTCTAACTTCTATCATGTTGCATACATAAATTACTGATAATGCCATGATGATCAATCATCAAATTTCATATCAATGATGCGGGTGAGTGAATAAATGATAAATGAGGAGGTGAGAAAAATTAAAATACACATATTTTGAATAGAAATAGCAGCCATAAATGACATTCTAGAATACACGTTTTGCCAATCATTTACTTGATATTAATATCATTGCATCAATTTTGATCTCCGTTCATTTATGCTGTATACATAGCAAACACATTTGTGGAAGATTTCTATCAGTAATTCAATTATAAAACATTGAAATTGGCTTCTATACCATTCCCGTATATATTTTATCTCGAAAAATAAACGGAACTTGGTACTCATATGGATACCGTAGAGCTGCCATTTTCAATTAGAAAAATTTCTTTATGATTAATTGATTTTTTTAATTAAAACATTTTTCTACCCTCCAATTTACAGGCGTTCTATTCTCTCGGTTGGCATCGTCCGTGTTGTGTCAAATTAATTTTTCTGCTTTTGTTATTTGCAGTTTTTCTGAACCGGATGTGGAATTTCATTGATTCGTTTTGGGGAATTTAATAGTGTAAATTCTAACTTTTGTGAAATAATTTGCAAATGTTATGCTTTTGTGTTATATGAAAATATTTTTGTGGATCGAAACTAAAGGTTTTTTAATTATGGCTTGAACTTGCTTGGAAGGCTGACTGGGAGCTATCTTTTACAAGGAAAAAAAAGCTTACCAGCTCCACCAATTCACAGATTATTGTAGAACTTATTTTCATACATTCATTTTCAACTGCAGCATTATGATGAATTCCCCAATGTACATATCTATCTGTTTTAATATTTTTTTTCTTTCTTTTCTACTTTTAAAAATTCTTATATTTGCGAGAATAAAAAAAAAACATTTCGCGGTTGCCACAATACCACAAATGAATCATTAGTAACATTTATCTTTTCTTAGCTATCGTTTCCCCTTAATTGAGCGTTTATGAAAAATTAAAGAAAATGAAGAAAAAAAAATATTTTTCAATGTAAAGAAAAACAAATTTTCCTTTTTCAGTCATGAAAAATGATTAATTGCTGTTTATGGATGAAATAGAAATAAAAGTTTTTGAAGAAGCCAACAAAAATATTCAATATTGATTATGAGTAAAAAGTTTTTTCTTTATGAAAATCGGAATATTGAATCCTTTAACTAAATTTCTGAAGAAGAAATCCTCAAAATCTATTTAATTGAGATGAGTTGGATTTATGATGAGTTATTGCTGGAGATATTTTATAGCATTAGCAATAGAAATCTTTCGGCCTGTTTCACTAAAGTGGATTATCCTCGATTTCGGATTATCCACTTCAGTTTTTTGGAAATATCTCCAGATGCTTAAGGTTATTAAGAGATCTAATGTGTGATCTAGTTAGAGTATTTTGCTACTTAAATTAACATAAACTTAGAATTTTTATATCTTCACTAGTTTGAGAATTATAGCAAATATCGAAGATAATCTACTAGATTTGGCTAGAAAATTGAATAATTAATACTTCTTAACGAAAAGAAAAAGTTTAAGGTATACAGAAATTTCAGGCATACTTTACTTTATTATAATCCAAAATTAGAAATACCACACCTCGCATAAAGTTTAAGATATTTACAAAAAACTGAAGTAGATAATCCGAAATCGAGGATAATCCACTTTAGTGAAACAGGCCGTTTGTGTTATGAGGTTAAACAAATTTCTATCGTATCTTCTGAATTCAAGCCAACTGGAAGCCTTATAGTTTTTTCAAAGTCATTTGTAAATAGCTCGTAATTTACTAGATTGTTTGTTGGATTTTTTTTTTTTTTGGAGAATTTGTAATCGAGAAGCTCAATGAAGCTTATGAATGGTATTTACAGACTAATTGGCTTGTTTGAAATTCACTATATTATTTCGTCTATAGCAACATAAGATTACTTTATTATCTTCGCCACAATTTTGAAGTCGCCCAGTAAGAAATCCATATAAAATTTAAGTCATAAGCTTAAATTAACAATTTAAAAATACCAACTTCCTGTCAATCTTATAATTTACACAATGCCCTCCTCTTTTCCTTAAAAAAATCCTCAGCGCAACAATGAAGCCTTAAAAAGTCAATATTTATGTTTGCATAATTAGCCGCAGATGTTTATTTATACAACAAATTATGCCTTTCTATGGCCATTGAATCTTAATGAGATTAGCATTTTCATTCAAGTCATTATCAATGGTCATATCGTCCACTCTTGGCGAGAGTTCTTCTTTCTTTTGACATTTTAATCCGCTCCATTAATAAATTCATCTAGATTCGATGTCGTTGACTTGATTATGTACAAGAAAAGGAAGTAATTAATGTCAAATTAACAAAAAAAAAAAGCTATTGGATTGTACTTTATGATAAATGGCTGTATGTATAGTTTTGGAATTTGTTACAATTAGGTCTTACTTTTTCATAATTTGGACAAAATTTTCACACAAGTTGAATATTATAGAGGCGTAGCAAGAAGGTGGATGGGTTTGTGACTCAAAAATATCAATCTAAAGCATAAAATATCTTGCCAATTTAATATTTTCTAATTCGTGTTAAAACAGCTTGAAATTTTCAATTACTCGACTCGCGCTGGCGTTAGATAGAATAAACCTTTAGGCCATTGAAATACTAATGAATCAGTTGAAAATTTTCAGAACATCAAAGCGAATTTAATTTTCATGCTTTATTTAACAAATTGTTACGATGCTGTTATGCTGCACGTGAATGCTTTTATGAAAATCTGCCTTGCAATTATTCGATTAAAAGCTTATTTTTATTCATTATTTCTAGGACATGCTTGAATTTTTATTCAACATGATCATACAAGGAAATATAAGCTTAATTTAATTAAACGTTTGCTTTACATAATTGATTGTATTGGAAGCTATGCTTTGAGGCATGAATTTAATTTTACAGCTCCTTTCCCTTCAAAATAGCCAATTCCCAAACTATATCAAACTTGATCACAAGAAACCTTCAAAGTCTCGTTGTATCTCATGGTTTTAAAGAACAACAAGTTCATTTAATTTCAAGTCTTGTTGCGATAATTTTGTGATTTCTCACTTTGATCTTTTCCATTTCACATTCATCTTGTAGATTGAAAGCGAGATTGTAATTAGAGTTGATTAGACAATCATTGTATACAAATTTGGACAGCTTTGATATGGTTTAGCATGTTTGTGTTTTTGTGGATAAAATGTAAATTATGAAGGAAATGTGGATTTCTTGTGGAATAAAGTGGTTTGATTGAGCCAAGCTAGATTTGAGCTAGGATTTTGTCAGATGTAGTGTTTTTTACTTATAACGCTTATAACAGTAAATTTAAAATTCGCTTTAAATTTGCATTTTTCAGCATTTTGAAATTGAAGTAAAATTCAGTATAAGCATGTCTTATTAAACAAATTCCCCTGTAAACAACAGCAACATTCAAAAGCCTACATAAAATATGCCACATTTAACCTTTTGAGATTTTTAAATGTTAAAGGAAGCCACATTTCAGTATAACATTATCAATAATTTAACATTTATATTTTCATAAGTCATTACAAACAGATGCTGTGCTTCTTTTGATCTAATGTAAAATATCTTGAATTATTGCTCTTTAAATCTCTTACAATTTGTAATAAATATTCTCATTTGGAACTTTCAACTCCATAAATTCACAATAACAATTAAAATGTTAAAGCTTCACAAATCAAGTTTTAAATATTCCTAGAAAATACTCTCATTTCACCACGTAATAACCACGCTACAACTTTATGCATATTAAAATTATAAAACCATCTGATACTTGAGAATCTTTCCCTAGAAAGAGAGAAATTCCACATCTACCCTCTATTTTGATAACAATTCATTTATTTCCACCCCGACCAGTCCCGTTTTATTGTAAAACTTTTCGCCTTTATCACTCATAAAGTTACTTAAATCATATTGTGAGTTGTATTCATAAGTATATCCGCCTTGTTTATTATCAATGGTTCCAAAAACTAACAGTTGCCACATTCCAATTAATTCTGAATGAACGATTTTACGGGACTGACAATTTCACCATCGACAAATGTGCTATTTCTAGTCATTCATATGTTGGAAAAGAGACCACTATTCATTCCATTAGTATCAAGTTAATGTGAAAAGTTTTATCATTTTTGACTTTCGTTTTGATGACAATGATGTTGGTTAGGTTTTAAGACGATGGAAATTTTCCATCAACATCCCTTTTTTCTCACAATTGGCATCGATAATGACTTTCGCACGTAATTTTCCATACCGCTGTCTTTTCTCGTCTACCGTCTACCGATAAAAATT